GGCCTTGGTGCCCAACGATTCCTGGTGGGATGGAGATGGAGAGCAGGGATCCCCATGGGAGGGGTTTTGGGGTCTCCTGGCCTTGGTGCCCAACGATTCCTGGTGGGATGGAGAGTGGGAATCCCCTCGGGAAGGGTTTTGGGGTCTCCTGGCTCTGGTGCCCAACGATTCCTGGTGGGATGGAGAGTGGGAATCCCCTCGGGAAGGGTTTTGGGGTCTCCTGGCTCTGGTGCCCAACGATTCCTGGTGGGATTGACAGCAGGGATCCCCTCAGGAACAGCCTCCCTGTGGGATGGTGGGGTGCAGGGATGGGAAGGGCCACTCTCCATCCTCCCTCTCCATCCTCCCTCTCCATCCTCCCTCTCCATCCTCCCTCTCCATCCTCCCTGTCCATCCCTCTCCATCCCTCTCCCGCGTGTTCCCGGCAGAGTCTCCGGCCAGTTCCCGGGTCACGCGGAGCTCCGGCCGCCCGCCCAACCAGCCCACCCTGCTCAGCCTCTTCTCCAAAGGGTCAGTCGGGGGCTCCTCCTCCTCCTCCTCCTCCTCCTCCTCCTCCTCCTCCTCCCAAGCCCGGCCGAGCGCCGGGAGAGCCCCCGGTGCCCCCCCGGCCCCGGGATTGACCCATCGGGTTCCGATCCCGGCAGATCCAACAAGAGGAAGTCGGAGGAGGTGAACGGGGAGGCGAAGCCGGAGGTGATGATGAGCGTGGAGAAGGAGGAAGAGGAGCTGGAGGACAAGGTGGGTCTGGGCATCCCGGGGGCTCTCCCGGACGATTCTTTCCTGGGGGCTGGGATCGAGTTTCCCGGGAGTTTTCCGTGCTCTCCATCCCCCCCCTCCCGCTTTCTTTTTGTCTCTTCCTCAAGGAGCAAGATGAGAAAAGGATTAAAATGGAAGCCAAAGACGGGTAAGGGGGAAGGAGAACGTCCCAGGCTGGAACCTCGCTGGTGACTTGGAGCTTTTCCATCTTCATCCCGTTTTTCCCACCCAGGTCGGAGCTCAAGGACGAAATCCCTCAGGTCAAAATAACCACCCCTGCTAAAGTGAGTCCCTCTTCCTCCATTCCAGCCTTTTTTTGGGGGGGTTTCCATCCCTTAAAACTCCTAAATTTCCACGTTCCCAAGCTTTGGGATGAGTTCACTCTTCCCAAGGGTGCATGGATTGTCCTGTGCCCTTTTCCTCCATTCCAGCCTTTTTTGGGGGGGTTTCCATCCCTTAAAACTCCTAAATTTCCACGTTCCAAAGTTTTGGGATGAGTTCACTCCTCCCAAGGGGGTGCATGGATTGTCCTGTGGGGGAAGACAAAGCCATTCCCAGCTCATGGAGGTTCCCAGGACCGGGGCGGGGGGAGCAGCCGGGGCCGTTCCCGGTGTGAAAACAGGGAGATTCTGCTCAACCCCGGGATAATTCATGGAATGACGGGGCCCCTCTCCCTCAGACCACCCCTCCCAAGTGCGTGGAGTGCCGGCAGTACCTGGACGACCCCGACCTCAAGTTCTTCCAAGGGGATCCCGATGACGCCGTAAGGGCCCCGAATCCTCCCGTGCCCGGGTGTGGGAAGGGCTGCTGGGGGGGGAATGGTGGTTAGTCCTGGGCATGCAGGATCAATGCAGAATAAACTGTATAATATAGAGGTAAATATGTATAAAGCATTTCATATATCTTATATGAATGCTGGGTGATCCTGGGCATGCAGGATCAATACAGAATAAACTGTATAAT